AACATTTCCCTCTCCTTATTATTTAGTGTTTACAGCCTTTGAGCTCCTGTCTTCTAAAGTGTCTTAAAATATAGAGCAGGTTATTTTGAACTATAGTCACCCTGCTGTGCTGAGGAACACCAAAACTTACTCTTTCTACCTAACTGTGTTCTGATACACATTGCCCAAACGCCCCTTACCACCCTGCCCTCCCACATCTCCCAGTCTGTAGTAATCACTGTTCTACGTTCAGGTCAATCTCTTTTTCAGCTTCCGCATATATAAGAGAACACGCGATATTTGTCTCTCTGTGTCTGGCTTATTGGGCTCAGTGTCGTCCAGTTCCATCCATTGGGCTGCATGTGATAGTGCTCTATTCTTTTCATGGCTGAATGATATTACGTTGTGTGTAGTATAGTATTTTATTTGTCCATTCATAGTTGATGGGCAGCTGGGTTGGTTTCATATCTTAGCTATAATGAAGAGTGCCGAAACTACAATAGTCTCCTGACAGGACTACTAGCCTCCGTCCTCACTCCCCTGTCATGCAATTCTTCTTATTCCCTGCTGCCAGCCAGAGCACCTTTTCCGAAACACGGGCCGGACCTCATTACTTCCCTTCTGCCACTGTCGCTGGCTCCCCGCTGCCCACAGAGCAAAGCCCCTCTGCCAGGTGTAGGCTTTCCCACCTCCCTCGCCTCCTCCCCTCAGTACCAAACCACCCAGACTTCTCCCCACCAACACCCCAGGCCTTTGTTCGTGGCATTCCCTTGGCTGGAGATGCCCTGCTCTCGTCTCACCTAATCGATGACTCCTATTCTATCTTCAAGACTTATTTTCCTGTCATCGGCTAAGAGAAGGCTCTTCCTGGTTCCCACCATCCACTACCATCCCAGGACAGGGCTCCCTCACACTCTGGGAGCTGCCAGCACGTTCTACGGAAACTTTTCATTTCTTAGTCTTTATTTCCTGCCCCTCCTCACGGCAGGGACTACTTCTTATCTATTGTTGCATCCCAAAAGTAGTCTGACGTAAGTGCCCAAGAAAAGTTTCTGTGCAGAACTAAGTGTGCCTCCACCCAGCACATCCTGGAAAGCACTTTCTTACCAGGGACCCTCAGCACCTTCAGCTCACTCGCTCACCGATTCACTCATCTGTTCATGAGGTCAGCTGTTTATTGATTGCCTGCTACGCATATAGCAGGGAGGGGGATGCGGGGAGGAGCACGAAGTCCTCCTCCCGCCAGAGCTCACAGTCTGGTGAGGGAGAAAGACACTAATCAACGAATCACACCTATATAAATAGAGGCTGTGATAAGCACTCAGAGAGGAAGAGCAGGGAGCTGAGAGAGCAGATCACCAGGGTACTGAAAACTAGACTGAGGGTGGAGGGACGGTCTCCCAGAGGAAGTGGCCTTTAAACTGAGTGCTTACGCTGTGATGTGAGAGGAGCTTCCTTCCGAGAAACATGACTGAAGTGAAGGAGAGGGACCAGAGCTGAGAGGGACAAGGCACTGGCAAAGGATGTTCCAGTTATCTGTTTCTGCCTAAGCTACCCCCAAATGTACCAGCTTCAACAACAGACGTTTTATCATAGCTCGTGACTTTGAGGGACAGGCTGTGTGATCTTGTTAATGTGGCACCCACAGCTCACCTGGTGGCAGATGGGCCGGTTTGGAGAGCCCAGGATGGCTTCACACACATGTCTGGCATCTTAAAGATGGGTAGGAGGCTGGGCCCAGTGGGTTGCATTGCCTGGAGGCTCTAATCACATGCACCCTCTGGCATGGTGACCTCAGTGGTCAAGCCACCAGGCTCCAAGAAAGAGTGGGCCAGTGATCCAGGTGACAGGCACCTGGCCTCATAAAAGTCACACTTTGGCTGTGCTCTGGGAAAGGAGTCACAGCCCTCCCAGACCATCGGAGAGGGACGTGGGCCCCCACCTCTCCTTGAAAGCACAGTCCAAGTCCTTGCAGCCGGGTTTGACAATCTCCAAGACGATTCCATTTAAGTGAGAGAGACTACGCTGTATTTAAGTGCTGCCAGCAAGAAAGAGGAGTTAGGAGCTGTTGGAGACAGAGAAGAGAGAAAGGATAATCAATTTTGTTAGGTTTGCTGAGGAGACGAACTGAAACAAAGGAGGCTAAGTTTCCCATTTCCTTGACTCTGCCCACCTCACCCCCATTCCCTCCACCCCGGCTCTCTCTCCCTTTGCTGTCGTATGCAGCAAGCTGCAGCTAAGGACTCTGGTTGGCCTGGTGGCTCTCTTGCCTATAGGCCAGTCGTCATCAGACCCAGCCACGGTCACAGCGCTTCGTAGTTTTGCAGTGCAGTTTGTATATCGCCTGCCTAGAAGGCTAGACCTGTGCAGCAGCTATTTGTAAGGATTTCACCTTTTCCCTGGGTTTTAGTCATTTATATTTAATCTTCTGCCCTACTAGGAAGTTCGGGCTTTTATCTTTCAGTTGAAAAGCAATCTGGATGCACTGAGAGACAGCGGATGATAGTTCAGCACCTTCACAGTGGCTCTGTATTTGTCTGAATCCAGGTCTTCAAAGGTTATCGAGGCAGCCACCCTTGGGTGACTAAATCACCCCAAATCTCTTAATCTTTTCTTAAAGCTCCCATCTCTCATTCTCTTCACTGAGGACCCTGGTTGGAACCCATCCTCACAACTTCTCCGCAGCCTCCACACGCAGATGCCCCGAGACAGGTGTAAAGAGTGGGAGGCCGGGCTTTGGACAGAAGCAAACCTGAGTTCAAATACAGCTTCTGACACTGCATAGCCTTGGACAGTTCCTTCATTCTTCTGAACTTCAGTTTTCTCTTCCAAGAAAGGGGAAGTACTAATAATCAGTTTTGGCAAGGTGCCTTGGCACACGCCTGTAATCCCGGTACTCTGGGAGGCTGAGGCAGGAGGATTTCCAAGTTTGAGCCTAGCCTGGGCAACTTAGAGAGACCCTGCCTCAAAACAAAACATAAAATATAAAGGCCTGGGGATGTAACTGAGTGAGATGACTGGGTTCAACCCCTGGTACCATAAAAACTAATAATAAGCTTTGTTAGAACTGTAATGTTTTGCGATACAGTATATGGAGTCAACACAGTCAATTGCAGCTGACACCAGCTTACAGGGCTCTGATAAAGGCCCCATCCCGAGGAGATGACCTGACTACCAGTCACACCTCACATTGTCCTTTTGGCCTCTCCTGCAGGCTCCAGAGACCCCACTGTGCAGTAATGCACAAAAAGACCTCCCGGCTCGGCCTTGCAGCGAGTCCGAAGGACTTCCTGCTGCTCCTGCGGCCGTTTCTTCCATTTGCCAGGACTACTGGCTCTCCGTGCGCCTCACCACTGTTGAGTGGCTAAATGAGTGCACCCTGAACCCTGGTCAGTCGGACTCGGGTCGACTGGGGCTCTGCCACTCTCCGGCTACATGAGCGCAGGAAGCCTATTAACCGCTCAGAGCCCATCTCCCCCTGTGTGAAAGAGGTTGGTTAAGTGAGGTAGCACATTTGAAACGGGGCACTCGGAACAAAGCGGGAAGTCTGTAAGTGTAGCTGACTCATGAGGCCCCGGGGTGGAGTACCTCTGAGGTCAAGACTTCCAGGGTTCACGCCTAGCTCTCCACTCTCCAGCCGGGTGCCTCTGGGCACTTACGAATCTATTATTCCTCCATGTCTCTGTCAGCAAAACGGAGATGATGATGGCCTCGACTTCTTAGAGCTACTACGAAGGTTAAATGAGATAATAGATAGCATTTGCAGCAGTGCATGGGTGACAGTAAGAACTTAGTAAGTGTGCAGTGTTTCTCATTCCATCCTTTCATTTTTTTTCTTTTAGTGTTTTGGGTTTTTTGATACCAGGAATTGAACTCAGGACTTTGCACTTGCCAGGCAGGCGCTGTCCCACTGAGCTGGATCCCAGCCCCTCATCCTTTGATTCTTGACCCTTTTGTATTTTTATATTTCAGGTACATTGTCACTATGCAGTACTTAGTTGGATTGCTTTTTAAATTCAGTCCTTTCAAATTTTTCATGTATATTTATTTAAAAATTTTATATAAATACTTTATGTGAATTTATATAAAATTAAATTTCCAATCAAATGCATTCATTTCATTTGTACAACTGAGTGTGCTCGAATCAAGCAATGGAACAGTTCCGTCACCCCGAGAAGTCCCAGGCCCCTTTTCGGTCACTGTCCTCCCTCTGCCTCTGGGGTGAGCAAGCGCTTGTTTGCTTTCTGTAGTATTTGACTTCCCTAGAGTTTCTTGTAAGTGGACTAAAACACCAAAAGACTACCTTTGCTTTTTTATGGGCAATTTTATTCAATTTCTACTAACTATGATTACCAATACGGTTGGGTATAAGTCTAACATCTTACCTATTTTTTCTGTTTGTCTCACCTATTCTTTTCCTCTTTTCTTGCCTCCTTTTTGATTAATCAAGTCGTTTTACTATTTCATATTCGGATCTACTAACTTTTGGTTACACATACTTTTACTGTTCTTTCAATGACTATCAGGTCAGTGGTTCTTAAAGTTTGGTTTCTAGATGGGCAGTATCGATATCACTTGAGTTGTCAGAAATGTACATTCAGCCGGGTGAGGTGCTATATGTCTATAATCTCAGCACTCAGGAGGCCAATCTGAGCTACATAAGTGAGTTCAAGGCCAACCTGAACTATATAAGCAAGTTCCTGTTTCCAAAAAAAGCAGATTTTCAGGCTCCATCCCAGAATCATAAATGATGCAGAGTCCAGCAATCTACATGTAACAACTACCCCAGGAGATGTTGATCCTCACTAAAATTTGAGAGCCACTGCCCAGAAATTACTGTTGCGTGGAGCAGAAGTTACACTCCAGGCAGGTCACCCTCAGGTAGGCACGGTTGATTCCAAACTTCAGTCCTGTGAGGCTGGTTGGTTCCTTTCTGGGGCTACACCCTAGAATTGAAAACCCAAGGTGTTTATTGGGGCCCTCCCTATTAGCAGGCCCTGAATGCTAATTTTTCTCTGCAGCCTGATTCTGCTGGCAGAGCAGCCCCAGGGGAATCAGGAAAGACCTCCAAGGGAATCCTGATGTCAAGCTGTGTCTCTGCATCTCTCTTCCCTCTGGATCTTGCCATTTTGATCTGTAAGTTCTTGCAGCCTTGATGATTCTCGCATGCCTTCATATTTTACCCCAGCTACTGTTGGCAGTTTGGTGTGAGGAGGGTTAGTCTGCTGTAGCTGGAAGAGGAGGCCCCGGTCCTATTGTTCTTTCCCCACTAGAATTATGGAGTCAAATGAGCAGTTGGAACAGTTCAGTCTCTGGCACGTGGTTAAAGCTCAATAAGTGTAAGTTATTGTTCTTCTGCCCCCAGTAGAATCCTGGGGACTACTGAGCCGAGTTGTTAACAATCAACTTTCCTGCACATCTTCTGGATAAGGAAGTTAGCATTCCAGTGCGATTGGAGGCCAGCACAACTGCACCCAGAAGGAGGCTATAATTGGACTTCAGGGGATCCCAGGATTGTTCTGGTCCTAGTCAGGGAGTGGAAACCTTTGAACTTTAGGGACCCAGCTGAGTTCTCAGCTCAGAAGGAAATGAGCCACTTTTCTCCCTCTCCTCTTGCAGGGCCTTGACCACAGCCTCAGCTGCACAGTTTGAAGGAATCTTCTTAGCTTCGGAATTCCAGGCCCCCTCATGTCTGTCCTCTAGAGCAGAGCACATCCGTGCGTGCACACACCCATACCTGTGCAGGTGTGCTTACCCACAGGTGCTCCAGTGGTGGCGCCAGAGTGTGGCAGGCAGCGGAGGTGGCAATGGGAATTGTATTGGTTTGCACACTGGTCCCCCTCTCCAGAGGACAGGGAAATGTGGACCGAGGAACAGGCTGGAAGGCCTGGCCAGAGCAAGGGCAGAAAAGGTTGGACCTAGAGACCTACTACCTCCTCCTCTGGCCAGGTCTTGGAGCTGGGTCTCTGAGATCAGGTCATGAACTCCTGAATGGCCCTATTTGTGGGTGCGGGTTGGTCACAGAGGACACACGTAAACCATATAGAGACCTGGGAGCTGTGGCTGGGCTGTGAAGGGTGCTGCAGCCACTAACTTGAGTTACTTCGTGAAAATGAAGCTGTGTGTGTGTGTACATGTGCAGGCTTTAATACTGTGCTCAGCCGCCAGACCCAGAAGGAGCCCCAAGCCTGGGGAGGCTTTAAGCTGCTTTTAGATAATTTGGTTCAGAAGAAATCTATGCACTTAATTTTTTCCTGGTTTAAAAGTAGTACATGCTCATTGTTTTGTTTTTTTTTTTAATGTGAAAAAGCAGTGTAAAGGAGAAAATGAAAAGCACCTGTGCTCCCACCTTTAGCGTTGATCACTGCTGACATCTCGACGGAGTAAAGATTATAGGCCCAAACCGTTTTCTTTTCTTCCTTCTCATGGAGCCTGCAATGAGCATTTCTCATGTCATTACTCTTTATAAACCTGTGCAAAGGCCTTATACCACTGCATCCTGTACCATCATTTATTTAAGCTGTTTCCAGTGGTAGGACATTTAAGCAGTTTCCCATTTTGCCATTGTGCAAATCCTGCACCTTCCTGCATGAAGTGCTGGGAGGCTGTGCCTCAGGGCCACGTCAGAGTGCCCGGTGCTGTGCTCCAGGAAAGGCCAAGCTGGGCTGGGTGTCCTTTGACCAGGACAGTCTGACAGGAACAGGGGTGAGCTGGGATGCAGTGGCCTCTGCCTGCTTTGGACGTGCCCTGCAAATACCCCTAGGGTCTCCAGTTATCTTTCCATTCCTTCAAGGGTATCAGACAGGCGGGCAAGGGACCTGCCAAGGCCTCCTGTGAGGCAGAGCCTAGGGCAGGGGTGCGTTTGAGGCATTAATCTGTTCTGAGAGTCCTCGGCTTCCCACCCCACCCCAAGGCTCTTGCGCACCTCGGCCCACCTGGGTGGTGATGGAGCCGGGCTTCGGCAGGGGACCCGGGAGGCCCTAGGCTCTGGGACATACATTAAGAGGAGAGGCTGAGGAGCCTCTGGGAGCCATGTCCTAGACTCCCAGAGGATGAGTGTGGTGGGCTGGGGACGGGGACAGGGACAGGGCTGGGACTGGAGAGGCGCAGAGGGAGCTGGGAAGTCAGGAAATGACTACATGACTCTGCCGCCCTGCTGGAGAGCAGATGTCCCACCTTTTGCCTTGCCACCCTCAACCTAGGAAGCAGCGACTGCGCCTCTCTCAGTGCTGGATGTTTGTATCTATCCCTGCCCCTTGAAAGGGAGCTGGGAGTCGGAGGTTCACTTCATGGGGCATGGAGTCATGGAACATTAGTGCCACGCAATTGACTTCAGTGACCATTTCCTCCACCCACTTGCTGAAAGATGAGGATCTTGAGGGGCCCCAGTGCACCGACTCTCAAACCCAGGGGCCCTGTGGTCATGCTCTCTTCATTCCACACCTGAGAGTCACATCTGCTTGGAGAGGGGACAACATGGTAGGTCTCAGGCAGAAGATACCAGGCCTGGTGGGAATCTGACCAGAGGAGCCCAGCACAAGCCTAATTCGTGAGGTTTCTGCCTTGGACACTCCCAGCCCCTTGCCTGCAAGAAGCCCTCTCCACATGAGCAGAGTCCAAGGGCTCCATGCACTTTGGTGCCCAGGGGTGGAAATCGGACTCGAGCCTGCACACCTCACCCAAGCCTGTGTGCCGTTCCACTGCAGGGTGTAGGGGTGCAGAGTAGCTTCTGTCCCAGCTAAGTGACAACTGTGTGGAACTTGAAACAGGTTAACCCACCAGCAGGGCCCCCAGGCACACGACAGTCCAGCATCTCCAGCACCATCTGTGCCTTCCATGTGAGGTATTGGACTCTTGGGCCACATACTGGTCCCTTTTCTGCACCCTTCTGTGAGTCTTTATCAGATATTCTTGGAGCTCCCGCTCTGAGATGGCCGCTCTCAAGGATTCAGAGCTCAGAGCCCCGGGCAGCGACTTCTTACTCCTTTGTGAGGAAGGGCACCTCCTACTCTCACTGTCCTTTGCCCCACCACATGGGCATTGTGGCTGGAGCCACCCTCTGTCTCCAGGTCTCTCAGGAACCAGCTTTCTGGAATCCAGTCATGTCTCAGGGCAGAAGTAGAAACATCCCCTTCCAGGGCTTTGCCTCTGGATTCTTGCTAGGTGTTGAGGATGAAGAGGGAACCGGAATCCTCAGGCCTGGGAGCAGAAATCTGTCCCTGTGCTTTTCCTTCTAGCATTAACAGAGAACTGCTTGAAGGCCAGAAATGGCCTCGGGGATAAAGACAGTTCTGAGGCCCAGAAATAAGGACAACAGCCTCTCCTGCCTACCATCCACAGCACACTGTCACATCAGCCATCTCATTGGACCCTCCAGACAACCTGGTGGCATGGCAGGGACTATCACCCGCACTTTACAGATGAGGAGACTCAGAAGGGCATGCAAATGCCCCTCTTCATCAAGATCAGACCTTGAGACCTCCATCTTCAGACTAGAAATCCAGTGCAAGTCACTGCCCATCCTCCTCCAGCCATGTGAGGGCCTGGGACGGTGAGAGTGTGAGGTCCCTGAGGCCACCAGGCCTGCCCCTGTCCCCCTATATAACCCACACCCACCTGCTATACCCCAGAAGGTGCAGATCTGTGGTAGGCATGCTCAAGGGCTGCTTACCCTCCTCAGTCAGCCTCTCTGGTGCATAGCAGGTACTCAGGTTGCCTGACAGATGGAAGGCAGCCCTCGAGTGTGTCTACAGTCCGTCCCTTCTGTGTGTCCGCACTCCAGCTGGGATGTGCACACAGGAGGCCCCACCTGGGATCTGTGGGAACTTCCCAAGGTCACGATTTGCCCTAAAGAGAGGTGTACCCCCAAGACTGAAATGGGGAGAGCAACCTCCCTCAGCAGGAACTGGCAGCTATGAGCATGTGCCAAGCTAAGCAAGGTCCCATTTGATCGCAAACAAATCTTCCCTGCCACGAGGGCCTTCGTCACCTTTCCTCCATCTCCCCTTTCATTGAGCCCCAGTTACGTCACAGCCAATAGCATGGCCCCCAGTGACCAAACTGTCTGAACGTCTCAGTAGACCCCGCCCCTTAGAGGTCTCCACGCCTTCCAAAGGCCAACCTGAATGGATGAGCGTTGGGGGAACGTGCCAGACCCAAGCTAGAGCACCAACCCTTTACCTTGTTAATTTGTGCTCCTCCTTAGATCTCAGCAGCAAGGCCTTGCCTGCATCTTTGAGTCAGTTCTGCCCATGGTATGTTCTTGCACATGCTTCATCAGAGTTGTTATTTTATTTTATCGTTTTGTTTTGTTTTGTTTTTTGGTTCTGGGGATCGAACTTGGGACCTTGCACTTATAAGGCAGGCAGTGGCCCCACTGAGCTAAACCCCCAGCCCGAGAGTTGTTATTTTACGATTGTCTTCTGCACCCACCTGTAAGCTCTGTGAAGACAAGAGAGCGTCCTTCTCCACTCCCCTGCTTCTTACCTTTCTCACGTCTCTGTTCCCAGCCCTGAGCCTCATCACAGATGTACTGAGTGGATAAATGAACCGGTCTCAGAGACAAAGAAACTGAGTTCTGAGAAGCAGCCAGCTCAAGGTCCCGAGATGGGCAAGTGACAGAGCAGAGCTTGAGCCAAGTCAGACTCTGCTACAGAGCCTGCATTCTTAGACTGTCTTTGTTTGGTTTGGTTCTGCCGAGACAGGGTCTTGCTGTGTAATTCAGGCCGGCCTCAAGCGCACCACGATCCTCTTGCCTCAGCCTCCTGAGAGTGGGATTACAGGCGTGCGCCACCGTGCCCGGCTCTTAACCCCTTCTGCTTCTGATCTGAGGTCCCAACCTCAGTCTGTCTTGCTCTCCTGACAGGTTCTGTGAAAACTGCTCAGCTGGCCCGGGCTCCCCTCCTCAGCAGCTGTCCCCAGAGCCATGGAGAGTCTGAGTGAGCTGCAGAACCCTCTGCTGTCTAGAAGCCCCGGCCCTCTCCATGGTCCCTATTCCTACCCCGAGGCCCCACCTGGCTGGTCCTGCCAGGAGAAGCTCTACTCCTACCTCCTGGGTGGTGCTGGCCCTGCACATGCCCACCAGCTCCTGGACCCGGGGTCCCTGCAGCTGGCTGTGGAGGCCTGGTACCGGCCCAGCTGCTTACTGGGCAAGGACAAGGTCAAGGAGTCCAGGACAGGCAGCTGTGAGACCAGCTTCGTGGAGGCCAGGGAGCCCCCAGCAGGACCCACAGAGCTGTGCACAGAACCTAGCCAAGCCGAGGAGGATGTCACTATCCAGACTGTGTCCTACGGGGTCCAAGAGGAGCTACCGGGCCAGGAAGATGACCAGGAGGAGGAGGTGAGCATATCTGCTCAAAATGCCAATTCCCAGGGGCCCCCACCAAACTCCAAGATTTAAGAGGCCTCGGTTGAGGCCCAGAAATCTGTTTGCCACCAAAGGAAAGGTAACGTCTGACCCTAGTGCAGCACACACTCTGGAAACACTAGCTTCGGTCCAAGTGATAAATAGCAACTATCACTCAAAGATAGCATTATTATTTTGGTGGGTGATCATCTAAGTCTTTTTCTATTATTATTAACCTATTTGGTTCCCTCTCTCTCTCTCTCTCTAGAAGGTCTTGCTGGACATAGTTTTATAACCTGTTATTTCATTATTGCTCCGTGAAATTTAATATTTTCTACGAGGTGATTTTAAAGTTACACGGTTTTCTACTGTGAATTTTCCATCATTTATTAACTCAATCTCCCAGCCAGTGGGCTCTGAGAGTGTTTCTAATATTTGTCAATTACTGTCTTATGATGAACTTGTCTGGATATAGACACCTGTTGATAAAGTCCTAAACGTAGAATCATGTGGTCATTGTAAAGGCTTTTGGTATAAAGTGGTGAGACCAAACTACAGTCAGCAAGAGCTTTCTACGAGGTGATTTTAAAGTTACACGGTTTTCTACTGTGAATTTTCCATCATTTATTAACTCAATCTCCCAGCCAGTGGGCTCTGAGAGTGTTTCTAATATTTGTCAATTACTGTCTTATGATGAACTTGTCTGGATATAGACACCTGTTGATAAAGTCCTAAACGTAGAATCATGTGGTCATTGTAAAGGCTTTTGGTATAAAGTGGTGAGACCAAACTACAGTGCCAGCAAGAGCAGAAGACACTACGTACTGTCCCACATCAATGGCCCCCGGGGATAGGTATTACCTTTTCAATAACTTCTGCCAGTGTGACAATGCTAGGGTGACCTGGGGCCTGGCCACCAAACTGCACTGTTTTGCAGAGTGACACAACATCCACAGACAGCGAAAGTGAAGACAACTTTCTCACGCTGCCCCCCAGGGACCACCTGGGTCTCACCCTCTTCTCCATGCTCTGCTGCTTCTGGCCACTGGGCATTGCTGCCTTCTACTTCTCCCAGGGGGTAAGTGCACTTGGGCCACCTCCCTCCTCTGGAAGGGTTGGCTCCCCCGGCTGTAGAATGGCGTTAGGGGCCTGGTGGGCTAGGCTGTCCTGCTGAGTGTGGAGTTGCTCTCTTTAACGCCACATCTCTCTCCTAGACCAGCAAGGCCATCTCCAAAGGGGACTCGCCTGGCCATGAAGGGTTGGCTCCCCCGGCTGTAGAATGGCGTTAGGGGCCTGGTGGGCTAGGCTGTCCTGCTGAGTGTGGAGTTGCTCTCTTTAACGCCACATCTCTCTCCTAGACCAGCAAGGCCATCTCCAAAGGGGACTTCCGCCTGGCCAGCACCACCTCCCGCCGCGCCCTCTTCCTGGCCACACTTTCCATCGCCGTGGGGGCCGGTCTCTATGTGGCCGTGGTAGTGGCTCTGGCAGCTTACATGTCCCAGAATGGCCATGGCTAGCAGCTGCCTATAGGGCTGCATCCTGATTCCCCTAGGCCACTGGAAGAAGCGGTGTGGCTCAGGGCTGCAGACTCCATGGAGTGTGCTGGGCCCTGGACAAAACCCATGGGAGTGGCTTGTCGGGGTCAGGGCTCCCAGTCTGCAGTCTGCAGAGCTCAACCTTCCCTTCTCACCAGAGCAGACCGGGGCACCACACTCTCACCCAGGCCACAGAGTGGAAGTGAGAGAGACAGGGCTGCCCCCCAGGCCGCCCTACAGGGCCTAACGCAGCCTGTCCTGGCCCATCCTTACAGGGCCTCCCATCCTGTCGGCAGCCCATTACCCACTTTCTCCCCAGAGAAAGAGCAGAAGGGTCCAGCAAAGGAGAAGGGTGCCAGGGGACAGGGGTTTCCCCAGCCCTTCCTCCCGTAGGGTCTTCACCCGGGGACAGCCTAAACTGCTCAACTCTACTCTCCGATTCCATGATGCCCATGGTGCCAAAGCCAGCCCGTCAGGAAGGAAATACACTGAGACACAGGCACCCCTGTTCCTTCTGATTCTGGGGGCTGCTTCTCTCCTCTGTGGGCAGGTAAGACACGCAGATCCTGGATAGAGAAGAGGAGTCACAGCACCAAGGAGGGCAGGTTCCTGGGGGGAGATAAAGGGCAGAGGTGACGACAGAGGCCAGAGAGCCCTGAAATCCTGCTGGGCCACGTGGGCCTCCCCACTCTGTCCCTGCTCTCCAACCCCACATCCTTTCTGGGCTCTGCCTGGGAGCCCTAAGCTGGTGCCCACCCATCCAGGGGAGACTCAGAGTGCCAGCGGCCCCAAGCCACCCTGTAGGAAGCCAGCCCTGCAGGAAGGGCAGTGAACAGAATCAGAGGGAAAGGCACAGGCAGCTCAGGCCTAGAACAATGAGTGGGATCCATCTACAGATTTGTTTGCGCACAACCCCTTGTGTTGGTGGGCAGAGCCGGGGCAAGGGCCTTCCAGGGGTTCCAAGCTGTTTGGATTCTGCCTGTTTGGATTTTGCTCCTAGGATGGAGCAAAATTGCAGCCATTTCTGAGTGCCCCACCAACACAAGGAGGAAGGTTGAGCCTGAGTGTCAATGACCAAAAAATGTTTTCCATTTCTGAATGCTTGGGGGTTGGTGGTAGCACCTGACCAGCCCTGGGGCTTCTCCACTCAGGTCTGCTCACAGCCTCAAGGAAATATCAGGAACTTTAGAGGCATCAGGCAGGCAGCACCTGGAAAGGCAGGACCCCATTGTGCATGATTTGGGGGACCTTGTCTTTCCCATGCCCCATCCAGATAGGGCTATGGCTCCACCCCTGACCATGCCTTGTCCTGTGCCCTCCCCTACCTCCAGCAATGCCCAACCCTCCACTCAATGCATCAATGGCACTTTTAACACCCCCTGTTGTATTTATTTATCCTGATAATAAACTTTTCTGTAACAGCCAGTGCCCTGTACACCTCTTGCTGCCCATCTTTGCCTGGGTCCCCTTACTGGTTCTCCAGGACTGACGTCCGTCACCGGTCTGCCACCCCTGACCCAGGCCTGCATGTGGGCCTCAGGAGGAGTGTCCAGAGCCAACGCTGCCCCAGAGCTTCTGGGTTTAGAGTCATCTGGATTCTTATCTCCCCTGTGGCTTGCTCTTGACTTTATGTAGGACTAGGAAGGAAGTGTGCCTGGAGAAAAAAAATCCTCCATAGGCCAAAGAGCCTCAGAAGTCAGTGAGGAGCGGTGGGGTTAAAGATCAGTCTTTGGATGTGGACCCCCCAGAAAGGGAATGTGATCGCGGGCCAGGCAGCTCTCTTGTTAGCTGAGGTGCCCATGGGACCTTAGCCTGAAGGCTGCTGCCAGGACCTGCAGTGGCTGGAGAGCCATCCACTTTTCCTGAAGGGCCCTGGGTGCCACCTCACCACACTGACCACATCTGCCACCCAGCAGCACAGATGACTCAGTGTCTACTCAGTTGCCCTCTGCCCTCCCTTCTACATTTTTTTGTTTTTGTTTTGGTACCGGAGATCGAACTCGGGACCTTGCACTTGCGAGGCAGGTGGTGGCACCACTGAACTAAATCCCCAGCCCCATCCTGTCTATGAATTATTGTCAGTAATTCCTGGGAACTCTGACATGGCAGGAGGCAGGACAAGCTGAAAGTGCTGGAAAGGCAATGCAGGCTTTAGCCAACCACTGATGGGAGTCCGTGGACAAAGAGCCTCCATGACTTGCCCCCTGGATGGGAGAAGACTAGTTGTCCACATTGGTTTCCGGGGGCCCCAGTGGGAGTGAAGCGCACAGCAGCTGTCTGCTTGGCAGCCTGGCCCTCCCTGGTTACCTTCTCTTTGTAGTATTCCCGTTCCTGGGGACCACTCTCCCGTAATCTCCCTGTAGTTGAGTCCCTGTCTCACAGTCGGCTTCTGGGGAACCCACATCTGAGCACACACTTGCATGTTCACATGCACGTGTGTCCGTGCTATGCACATACATGCACATACTTGCACAGGCATGCACCGGTGCATGCACATGCACAGCCATGCAGCCACACACACCTTCATGCACATGCACACGCCCATGTGTGCACCCACACATGCATGGGGAAGGGGTGAAGGAGGTGTGGTGGCTGAGAACTCACCAGCCCTGCCCATCCTGTCACAGTCTGGCTCCGGGCACAAGAATGGGCACTGGACTGTAGGCCCCCTCAGCAAGCAGGCTGCCCTCCAGCCCAGACTGTTCCTGCCTACGTCCTTCTTACCCTTCCGGTGTGCTGTTCCAAGCCTTAGGAAGAAGGAAGAAAAGCCAAGTGATTTTTTTTCTTTTTCTTTCTTTCTTTTTTTTTTTTTTTTTTTTTTTTTTTTT